CTATACCAAACTGATTGCATCTGACCAAGTCCTATCTGGTTCAAACAATTCTCCCAAGCTGCCTTTCCTAATCCCCTAATTCAAAAATCTTTTACCCAATCTCCTTCCTTCTGTGCCTCTATAGCAGCACCTACCTGGCCAGGGTTGTATTGAGGGATTTCTGTTTATAAACATTCGCAAGCCCCCATCCTACCACGAATCCCCACCTGGACTGTGAGCACCATACAGCCAGGACCCACATGTTCAATCACTGTCTTCTTGCTTCTCCCAATATCAACTGTGTGGTCCCTCACAGGAAGCAGAGGCTCTGTAAACGTGTATTGAGTGAATCCAAAAGTTTCACAAATTTCAAGGGTCAGCTTCCTCGCCGGCCAGGGATATACACGCCCTGTGCAGAGCCTGGCCCTAACGCCTCTCTGTAGCAAAGACATTCGCCAGGACATTTGCTGCGTCACAGAGGATCCTGGCAGCGCAACGCCTGTAGGCGGCCCTCCATAACGAAACATGTGCCTTATGCCTCTGTAACCCCTCAAAGTAGGAACTGCTGGGTGACTCTGCATCAGCTGACTACAGGCAGATTTCCAGGCTGACTGGCTGGAAAAAAAAAAGGTGAGTTCGACGCCACGCGCAGTCCCAAACCCTTCCCCAGAAAGGCGCAGCCGGGAGGCGGCCGCGCGCGGGACGCACGCCCAGGGCGCGTGGACCGCTCGGGACCGGTTCGAGCGCCGGGTCACACAGAGTGCGTATCAAGCGCGCTCCATCACCGAAGCAGAGCGCGAGAACGCCCGAGACCGCGGCGCAGCCAATCACAGAGCCGCGCTCCCCAACGGCCGGCTGGAGGGCGGGGAGCGAGGGGGCTCGGCCAGGGCCGCGCCTCCCATTGGTTGAGGCGGCACCGCCCAGACAAAGTCCCCAGGTGCTCGCGGGCTGGTGGGCCGCCTGGGCTCCAGCCCAGGCCAGTCCCAGGCCCACCACCACTCTGGCATCCCCAGCCTGCCCCCGCGGCTCCTCCTCCTTCCCCGGCCCTGCGACCCCTCTGGTCCTCTAGCAACCGTCGGCTCGGCCCTCCTCAGGCAGCTGGCCCGGCGGGCTGCCTGCGGTCCAGCCTTCTTCACCTGGGCGCTGCGGCGCGGAGGGAGCACTCCCCAAACGCAGGGAACGGAGCCTCGGGGAGGACGTAGGAGGAGGAGGAGGGACGGGGACAGGACCGGGAGATACGGTCGGAAAGGGGACAGGGACTAGAGTCCGGGGCTGGAAGGCAAGACACACGGCTTGGGTCTAGGCTGGCTCGGCCTTTGACTACGACGTGACCTTGAGATGGTTCCTTCCCTTCGTGGGGCCTGGGTCCCCTTCGGTAAACTTCGCCGGCAGGAAACAATGAGTCGTTTCACCTGGAGCTGCAGGGCCGCGTGTTTAACCCACAGCCTCCTCCTGCCTGGCACATTATTCCGAATAATAAATGCCAGATGATGCTGCCGGAGACGCCCACAGAGAAGCCGAGAGGGAGGTGCATGAGGACCCCCTGGGGTCTGGCCAGATGGTCCATCCTACCCTTACCCCGCTGCGGCCGCGCGCTTGGCCTGTAGGGAACGAGGCCCCCTTCCCCACCCGTATCCCGGCTGCCGGGCTAAGGGAACGCGCGAGGCCGAACCAAACCGAGCAGAGGGCGCCAAGGCATCCCGCCCCAGCTGCAGAGACGCGGACCCCTCCTCTTAAAAAAAACCAAATGGGCAGGGGCCTCCTCTGCGGAGGGCTGGCCGATGCGTTCGCCTTCACCCGGCGCCGCGCAGGTGCCCGCGCTCCTGCCAGGAGAGCTGAGTGGGGGCGCTGCCGCCGGGTCCTTCTGGAAGCCCCTCCACCCGCACTCAGGGCCTGCAGCCTCGGCCACCCGGAAGTGCCTGCTCACTTAACGCGCGCTGGAGCTGCGCTGGGCGGGGCCCAGGGCGGCGTGGCTGTCAGGGGGGCCCCCCGAGACGCTTCCTACATCCTGGGCTCCCGGCCTGGCCCTCCTCCCGCCAAAGGTGCCCGGATCACTAGGCGCACGGTGTGGCCGTCTAGCCCCGAAGCCGGACTCCAGATTTCCCCGCCGCCTCTTGCTCCGGGACTGCGTGGCAGGGGCAAGGACCGGAGAGGAGGAGCCAGGTGCTGTGCGTGTTACTGTCTTTAGCGCTCATTAGGGTTGGTTGGTTTTAAAATTTCTTTTGATCCGATAAATGTATTTAGAGGCCGGGCGCTGTGGCTCATGCTTGTAATCCCAGCACGTTGGGAGACCGAGGTGGGTGGATCACTGGAGATCAGGAGTTCGAGACCAGCCTGGCCAACATGGTGAAACCCCGTCTCTACTAAAAATACAAAAATTACCTGGGCGTGGTGGCGCGCCTGTAAGCCCAACTACTCGGGAGAGTGAAGCCGGAGAATCTCTTGAACCCGAGAGGCGGAGGTTGCAGTGAGCTGAGATCGCGCCACTGCACTCCAGCCTGAGCGACAGAGCGAGACGATGTCTCAAAAAAAAAAAAAAAAATTTTTTTTGGAAGATTTTCTCCTTAGGGTTTTTAAAAATAATTTAAGAATAGCAGTTTCCCAGAGTTTTAATAATAAGGACAACCGAGGGAATCGACCACAGATAAGGGTTTCCTCCCAACTCCGACCCACCGCCCCACCCGCCCTACGGCCCTGCGCCATGACACCTCAGTTTCCAGAATGAGAAACAGGCTGAAGAGATAAGGTACCAGGACACATTAGTGGCGGAGCTATGTGAAAGGAAAATAAATCTTGGGGCCCCCAAATCACTAAGTTAAAGGGAAAAATCAAGCTGGGAACTGCTTAGGGCAAACCTGCCTCCCATTCTGTTCAAAATTACCCCCTGCTTACTGACATAAATGCATATCTGATTGCCCTCTTTGGAAAGCCTAATCAGAAACTCAAAAGAATGCAACCATTTGTCTCTTATCTGCCTATGACCTGGGATCCCCCTCCCTGCTTCAGCTGTCCCACCTTTCCAGACTGAGCCAATGTTCATCTTACATATGTTGATTGATGTCTCCTGTCTCCCCAAAATGTATAAAACCAAGCTGTGTCTGACCACCTTGGGCGCAAGTCAGAACCTCCTGAGGCTGCCTCACTGGTGTGCATTCTTAACTTTGGCAAAATAAACTTCCTAAATTGACCTGGCTCAGATTTTGGGGGTTAACAACTATGTTTAAGTACAGAGAAGGAAGGAATGAAGAGAATGAAAGAAACTCACAAATTCAGGAAGATGAAAACTGGAGGGAAGTACTGGCTTGATGGAGATTTAAAGAAAACTGTAGGCGGGGCATGGTGGCTCACACCTGTAATCCCAGCACTGTGAGAAGCTGAGGAAGGGCAGATCACTTGAGGCCAGGAGTTCAAGACCAGCCTGGCCAATGTGGCAAAACCCTACCAGTCATGGTGGCACATCTCTGTAATCCCAGCTACTTGGGAGGCTGAGGCAGGAGAATTGCTTGAGCCTGGGAGGCGGAGGTTGCAGTGAGCTGAGATGGTGCCACTGCACTCCAGCCTGGGCAACAGAGGGAGACTCTGTCTCAAAATAAAGAACAAACAAAAGTCTTGGCCCCGTCCGTCCATTCTATGAGCTTCCGGAGGGCTAAGGCTGTCTTCTTTATCGCCAACTTTTGGCACAAACAGCCTGGAAGACTGGGAGAATCACGAAGGGAGGATGCACTTGGTTTTCTGTGTCCATTTCACAGACACACTCAAGCCTGGATTTGCTGCAGTGATGGTGTTTCAGAACATTAGGCATATAGTACCATGGGGTTAAAAATAAATCACTATAATGAAATTACACCTTGAGGCTTATGCTTTGCTAGAAAAGCAGTTAAAGGAAGAATTAATCTTTCTACCAAGGAAAAACCATAGATCCTGACTCTGAGAATTGAACAGAATTATAGTTCTATTTGCAGAAGACCGAAGACATTTGACCTCTCTGAGGTTGTATTACACACCTCCCGTGTCTGGCCTTACATCTTCCCAGTCCAGCTTTGCTGTGGCATCCAGCTGTGAACAGGTGTAACCTGAGAGCACCTTGCCTCAGCTGTTCCTGATATTCCTCTGCTACTCTGGCACTGCAGCCTAGGACCCTTGCAGGAATCTGCTGCCCACTCTGACACATGAGTAAACCTGGAAGTGCAAAGGAACACCTCAAGGGACAAACATTGACCAAAGGGCAGACAGAAGCTCCTGGAAAAATACTCCATTATTCCATTCTTCTGGTGAGCAATTTTGAGACATGTTCTATCCAGCTCCTAAAATGATAGCATTCTGTTTGCCCATAGTAGTGACCAACTTGATCAACTCACGAATACATCCTTCTCTTTCCCTCCTTCCCTATTTGGCTCTTCCAAGCCCTCCCCTCCAATTCCTTGGGATTTTTTTATGTAGCTTTAAAATGATTCCAAACACTTTCAGTTTGCTGTGAGAGTGACACTGTTTTACTGTGAATAGAACATGAAGTGGACTCTCCCTACCCAAGGAAATGTTATGTCACACTTTATCAGACCCCACATGTGAGCTACTGACCTCAACTACTGGACTCCAAAACACATATAAACCCAAGATTTTGATAGACACTTGGAGAGCTTAGGATGTGGCCAGGCCGCTCTCTGTAAGCCTTGAAGCTGTTTTTGAAGCTCTGTCTCACAACACTGGCACCTCTCTCTAGCATCAAGGGATCCCGTTTATCTTCGTGGATCTCCATTGTATTGGTCAAGCTGTCCCTCCTGAGACGCTCTCCTGGAAAGTTGTGCCTCAGACTCTGATTGGACTTTCCATCTGCAAAAGCCTGCTTTCCATCCTAAGTGAGCAACTGAACCACCCAGGCTGTCGGGTAGCAGTGCAATCTCAGCTCACTGAAACCTCTGCCTCCTGGGTTCAAGTGATTCTCCTGCCTCAGCTTCCTGAGCAGTGGGGACAGGCACCTGCCACCACACCCAGCTAATTTTTGTATTTTTAGTAGAGACGGGGTTTCATGTTGGCCAGGCTGGTCTCAAACTCCTGACCTCAGATGATCCACCCGTATGGGTCTCCCAAAGTGCTAGGATTACAGGCATGAGCTGCGGTACCTGGCCTCAACTGAACTTTAATAATTGGACTCTAAATGAAATTGGAACTCACTCATTATGTGATTAATGTACCAGGTCTGTTGAGTGTATCCCCTGTGAGATTTGTTCTCATTATTTTCCCCCTTTTTAAGAATTGTGAAAAAGAAAGACCTCTTTGTATGTCAATAAACTGTGTGATTCATGAAATCATACTTTGATCTTCTCCTTATCTTAACCATCCAAAATAGATTCATTCCCCAAATAAACTACTTGTACACAGGTCGTTGCTCAGGCTCTGCTGTTTGGGGGATCCCAGGTTAAGCCAATGGTAACCCAAAAGAGGCATCTCAGCTTACCTTTCCCAACCCTGCTAAGGAGGAATTGATTGGTTTGGTTTGTGCTTTTTCTCCTTTATTTCCCAAATGCCCTGCCCTTTTTAGGGCACCATGAGTAAACTCTGACATAGAAAGTAGTAAGAGACTCCCAGGACAAAGGGCCAGCTGAAGGGTTGAGACTGGGTTAAGGGGTCAGACAAAGCATTCTCAGCCCCAACTTAAACTTTCCCCTTGTTCTATCATTCTGGTTGTTGACTTTGGAACTGGAGAAACGTTCAGCTGTGAGGCTGAACACACAGTCTGTGGAAATCAGGATGCTCCCTACACAGCACATACCAAGATTCTGCCACCCTCACTCTACTTTAAAGCAGTTCCTCTCTGTTCAGGTACCAGGTCTCAGGCCAGGGTCCTCAGCATTTAGCACACTCCCCTCAACCCAGGAGGGTATGGTTGCAAATTACCAAGCTAGTTTTGGGAGGGAAACAGTCCTTAGAGCCTGCCTTCAAGGAGAGTGCGAAAGGAAAGTATCTTGGACCCCCAAAATCACTAAGCTAAAGGGCAAAGTCAAACTGGGAACTGCTTAGGGCAAACTGCCTCCCATTCCATTCAGTCACCCCTCTGCTCACTGAGAGGGCCAAACCAATGTTCATTTTACATACGTTGATGGATGGCTCCTGTCTCCCTAAAATGCATGAAACCAAGCTGTGTTCTGACCACCTTGGGCACATATTGTCAGGACCTCTTGAGGCTACGTCACGGGTGTGCATCCTCAACCTTGGCAAAATAAACTTTCTAAATTAACTGAGAACTGTCTCAGATTTTGGGAGTTCACATTTTGGTAACTGTGGAGGGATTCTGAGTGGAGATGCCCCTGACCTTTGATAAAATCTACCGGTGCTTAGTACCAGCATGAGCTAACCTTATGGCTCAAACCAATAGGATGACTTGCTGAGGTCTGGGAACACCCTTTCCAGAGAAACCCTGATCTCTGGTCAAGACCTAGAGTTTATTTTGCTGTACAACTCCCCCCTACTACCAACCTTCTTTCTGAATTTGCTTCCAACATGGAAGGCAAGATTTCCTGTTTCCATTACATAGAAGGAAGATGACTCCTTTAGGGAGTCTGAGCTCACTCCCAGCAAGGAAGATGAATTCGAGTTTTTCCTGCTTCTAGGATGGCAAAAGGCAGTCTTCAGCCTGAGACCCATCTCTAGGTAAGTAGCTGAATTGGGGTTTCGTCTTGGCTAAAGTTTAACATCAGCTGGTCTTAATTTCTTCTTACCACGAGAGCGCTCAGCGAGCATATCATTGGACTTTTGGTTGTTTGTTCTACCTGAGTTGGTCAAATCCGAGTGAGAATTCAAATTATGGTTAACAAAGCCTCTCTAATCTGGCCAAAATTTCTCACAGCTGCAAAAGAAAAAAAAATGCACTTGGTTTTTGTGTTTGCTTTCTGTCTTTAAAAAACTAAAACAAATGTTCTTTCATTTACTTTTCTTCCACACTACTTCTTTCCCCTTTGCCATCCGCAGTACCAAAAAAATCTAGAGAAGGCTTCTAATGACTTGAACCCCTTTAAAGAATTCAGTATAGGCCGGGCACAGCGCTTCATGCCTGTAATTCCAGTACTTTGGAAGGGCAAAGCGGGCAGATCACTTGAGGTCGGGAGTTCGAGACCAGCCTGACCAGCATGGAGAAATCCTGTCTCTACTAAAAATATAAAATTAGCCAGGCATGGTAGTGCATGCCTGTACTCCCAGCTACTAAGGAGGCTGAGGCAGGAGAATTGCTTGAACCCGGGAGGCAGAGGTTATGGTGAGCCAAGATCGTGCCATTGCACTCCAGCTTGGGCAACAAGAGCGAGACTCCAGTTCAAAAAAAAAAAAAAGAACAAAGAATTCAGAACAATGGGGGCACTCACTCCTTTTGGAGTGTTCTGTTTTCTTTGTGAAGTGTCGAGAGTCATGGGTGGCTTCTTCTTAGGTCTAAAGCTCTGTTTTCCCATATTCCATGACCTGACCTCTTTGGCTTTATGGGTACCAGAGATGACCTTGCACTGTGAGAGGATTTGACCTTGGAACATATAATGGCAGACAAGTGTTATAAAGTTACAGATGGCTTAGCCCAGTTTTTAGGAAGTGGTCTTAGCTGGGTTGTTTTCTTTTCTCTCCTAGGAATTGTTGTTTAAGAATCCTAATTCTAGTTCAGAGATGCATTCTGAAGGGTCTTCTCTATTTTTTCTCCCAAAAGTAATCCCAATTTGGTTTGTCTGTGTGCATTTGTGAGGAACTGAAATGTTGTTTTCATAGGTAAATGAGAGACTGAGATTTTTCAGCTCTGTAGAGAAAATGCATTTGTTCCTCCCAGCCGAAAGGCACCCCTGGGTGACCAGGGACCTCGTGGGAGTTTCTGGGGAGTTGACCCCTGTGACATGCATTGGCCCTGCAGGGAAGTCCCCAGCAAAAATTAAGTTTAAAAATGGCTCATTCAGGAAATGCATATAAGGGCATTTTGAGCCCTCTCTGGGGTCATAAACCTCTGGAGAGAGAAACTGAGATGCCTAAGAGGGTGAAAACGACTCAGTGATGACACACTGTGGAGTGCTGCCCACAAGCAACTCACATCAATCCACCACTCAAAAACCCTAGGCCACAGCTCACTTCTTCCTTTTAAGAAAAAAAAAAAGTGGAAACAAATAATCTGAGGATGAGGAGAAAACAAAGACAATGGCCCCTTTTTGAGCATCCTGTTGGTTTTATGGCACTTCTACTTGCCAGAGTAAGATGGAAGTAATACAGTCTTTGTGCAAATTTATATTAAGGAAAAAAGAGCCCTAAAGTCAACCTGCAAAAAACTCTAGAATTCCTAGTCCCCTTTTCTTCTATTTTCTTTTCTGCCTGTTTTAAATCTGCTATTATTTTTCTACTGAGATAAAACCTCTGTTTGGATCTAACAGTTTTTTGGGGTTTTTTTGCAAGCTGGTATATTTGTATTTATCTCATGGCTAAAGTACTGGAGTGAGAGTTACAGAATCTGTGTGTGTATATGTGTGTATATACATATGTATATATTTGAAGGCCTTTATAATAGACTTCAATAATTTTATTTTCAATTGTTAATTAAATTCATTTTAATTTCCTTCTAGCTCACCAGACTTTCACTTTGTACCTTACGATGTAAATTTTACTGGCTGATTTTTACCTGAGTTGTTTCCCTTAATATGCAAATGTAGGGCTATTTTGCTGACAACTACCTAGGATAAGGTAGGAAAAAAGGTGGTCTTTATGAACCTATAAGATATATTTCAGGTGGGCAGAGTGGCTTATGCCTGTAATCCCAACACTTTGGGAGGCCAAAGCAGGCATATTGCCTAAGGTCAGGCGTTGGAAACTAGCCTGGCCAACACGATGAAACATCATCTCTTAAAATTACACAAACTAGCCGGGTGTGGTGGTGCACGCCTGTAATCCAAGCTACTGAGGAGGCTGAGGTAGGAGAATTGCTTGAACCTGGGAAATGGAGCTCGCAGTGAGCCAAGACCATTCCACTGCACTCCAGACTGGGTGACAGAGCAAGATTTTGTCTCAAAAGAAAAAAAAAATTTCTTCTATAGGCATGCCTAATATGTGTATATTTATGTGTTGTATACACAATGTTTCACCACTAAAATTGTATTTAAAAAGCTTGAATTAATTGGCTTAAAAAATAAAAGCACTTAAGTCAAATATAAAAAAGACAAGTCAAATACTTTTTCAAGTTCATGTGACTTAAGTAAAATCTTTAATAAATAAGTTGGCTCAAAAATTATTGGTAAAATAATATTAGAAATGTCTTAAGAATTTACCAGCATACATTTTTGTTTGCATTTACTAATCAAGCAATTTAATGCCTACCCCTGCCAAATACCATAAGGTGTCAAAATTTGGCATAGGGGTTACAAAACTATAATCCCAGACCAAAACAGAATAATCTTTGCTTATGTAATCTTTAATAAATAAGACATTGATATTAGTTTAATAAAAAGAGCTACATCTTAAATTTAGTAAGATTACCATAACTTCTAATCTTGTGTCTTTAAGCAGTCTAGTTCACAGGCAGTGAGGTTTGTTACTGTCTTTGTTTCAAAGCTAAACTACAAACTAAGTTCCTCCCAAAGTTAGTTCAGCCTATGCCCAGGAATGAACAAGGACAATTTGGAGGTTAAAAGCAAGATGGAGTCAGTTAGGTCAACTCATTCGGTCTCTGTTATAATTTTGCACTGGTGGTGTCATAACTTTAAATGATGACTATCACAGTTTTCATAAATAATCTAAAACCATTAAAGTAATTAGGAAAATGTAATAGGATAAATATTTGTAGACAAACTCATCATAATTTAGAATCTAAAATTAGATTAAATTAGGTAATAGATATTTCATTATATGGGTATTTTCCAATAAAAATATATTCGTAGGAAAGCATTATTTTATTTTATTTGTTGAGACAGAGTCTTGTACTGTCACCTGGGCTGGAGTGCAATGGTGCGATCTCAGCTTACTGCATCCTTTGCCTCCCAGGTTCAAGTGATTCTCCTGCCTCAGCCTCCTGAATAACTGGGATTATAGGCATGCACTACCACACCCAGCTAATTTTTTTTTTTTTTTTTTTTACAAAATAAACAACATGGAGGGTTTCTCCGTGTTGGTCAGGCTGGTCTCGAACTCCCAACCTAAGGTGATCTGCCTGCCTTGGCCTCCCAAAGTGCTGGGATTACAGGCATGAGCCACCTCACCTGGCCGAAGTATGTCATTTTTAAAAAGATGGACAATTTTTCTCTAATTCAAATCTTATTTAAAAGCCTGGTATAAAACAAGATAAAAAGAACCAGTAAATAAAAGAGATTTAAAGAAAGTTATGGCCAGGCACAGTTGCTCACACCTGTAATCTTCACTTTGGGAGGCTGAAGCAGGCGGATCACTTGAGGTCAGGAGTTTGAGACCAGCCTGGCCAACATGGTGAAATTCCATCTCTACTAAAAATACAAAAATTAGCCAGGCGTGGTGGTGGGCATCAGTAATTACAGCTACTTGGGCGGTTGAGGCAGGAAAATTGCTTGAATCCAGGAGACGGAGGTTGCAGTAAGCCGAGATCTTGCCACTGTACTCCAGCCTGTGTGACAGAGTGAGATTTTTTTCTCATAAAATAAAAAATAAAATAAAGTTATAAAAATAAAAGGTTTTTTGGGTAAAAAAGCTTAAAGAGAAATACTTTCATATAAGAAAGAATCTTGTATGGTAAATTTAATCCTAGAGTAAAATGACTTTAAGAGAGAGGGATGTTCAGGACAAACCAGAAAGTTCAAGCATGTCGTGAGCAGTCTGTGTAAGTCAAAATAAGAGGATTTATTTTTTTAAAAACCTATTATATGATCAAGTTGTCATATTGTTATTAAGTTTTGGTTTGCTTAGGAAAACATCTGAGATTAAAATTTTTTTAAGTTAAGGTTATTACACCCATGTATCTCTCTGTATGTGCTTTGAAAGTACTTGTGACATTGAGTTATAGGGCTTTGACTCCTGGGTCTAAAAGACACACGTGGTGTCTTTTAAACACTTTAATTGAGGTCAGTGTTTAAACTTTAAACACTGACCTCAATTAAAGCCCCATCTTCAGTCCCAGTAGAAGATGCCAATCAAAATAAACTTCATTCCTGAAACGCAGGGCCAGAAATTAAAGTTATTCAACTTCTCAAGCCCCAGGGTCTATCTCAGGAGACGTGGGAAGGTGAGATTATAAGGACCAATGTTGAGAAATAAAATAAGTTCAGTTTCTCTATCAATTAATCATTAATGTCAAAGGCACACTGATGCAAGACCACCATATGGGGCCATGTCAAATTAACAAGGTGTTCATGAAGCGTTTACTGACTTATAAAGGTTATAAAAGGCTTATGGAAGTTATAGCTTACGGTCCACATTAAAATTTTATAGATTGTTTATAAAATTTTTGAAAACAAATTTAATTGGCTTCCTGCTGTTTTTACTAGGGTTTATTGTTTGGAATATTAACTCTCTTCTCTCAAAGAGAAGGTTTTTGCTTTTTTAAAAAAACCCTTGAGTTATCACTTTCATCAAATGAATGACTTATTTTACAACAACCTGTGATATCAAGTGTTTTAGACCTTTGATATTTAATAAACTTTCCAAAATCAAATTGAAATTATGTCTTTTTCTGATCAAATTAATCCTTTAACGTATTAGGTTTCCTAAAGTCCAAAATGACATAATTTGGCTTATTTGGTATGAAAATTATATAGGAAATGTCAAATATTAAATGGTGTTTCGTTTTCTTTTGGCTGTATTTATATAAATATGTTATTGGTATGTGTTCCATAATTACAGGAAACTCCTATAATATTGATATGACTTAGTGTACGTTATCAGTAATAATTATAATTGTTATGTTAAATTATTGTTGCCACAGAGATAACAAGTTTCTTTGTCAGTTGTGTCTTTGACTGTGGCTGTCCTAAAACATTTTGTTATCCACAAACAATTGTCTTGTTTTGGTCCTCCTTAGAAAGTGGTTTTAAAATCACCTGTAGAACTCTAACAGGTGTTCCTAAATGCAGGTTTCTGATAACTTTGGAGATTGCGACATTAGAATAGAGAAAACAACTTTCAGGACTCTCATGGAGAACTGAAATATTCATGAATATCAGAACAAAAGTTAACTGCGTGAACTGAACTAATAAAAGACTAAATCTTTTTAACTTTTTGCTTAAAATGTTGCTGATCCTTTGTTTTTCAGAAACAAGAAAACAACTGTTAACCTATCTACAGCTTTTAACAATTGAGTGAAGTATACTTCTATGAACAAAATTTTGAGCATATTTGTTTCTCTCTACCTGATTTCTCCAGGATTTGGGAACTATTTGTGAGTATTCTTAACTTATGACAATACAGTTATCTGTGTAAGTGCAATAAGAATCTGTTTTCATTTGTAACAGGACACAATTGGAGAAACTGGTTATTTTAGTAAGGTTTTGACTGGAATGGTGTGCTTTCCTTTAAGGATCCATACTTAACTATGGAGCCAATAAAAGCCCGTTAGATAAACTGGCCTCATACTTTTGTCTACACAGTCACTGTACAGAGTTCCTGACTCATGGTAAGTAAAGTATGTCACTTTCTGACAGGACCAGGAGCCCCAAGTTTATCTTGGAACCTCAAGAGGAAAGGATCACCCAACTCATAGGTACTTGATGGCACAAATCCATGGTTGGACTCAGCTTTAAAAAACGTCTCATCTGAGATTCCTTCTATGGAATCTCAAAAAGTTCCATCAAAGCCAATTTAAAAGCCTATTTAAAAAATAATTATTCTTGTTGTACTCTATACAAATAATTAGGACAAGTATAATAAAGCACACCAGTTCTACCATTATTTGTCTTTAGTTAAAATGGGAAAGTGGAGATTGAAAAATTTTGATTCAAAACTATAGTACAGCTATTGTTAGATTCTAGCCTTGCCTAATGTTTTTTGATTTTTATTATTTTCTACAGTTTGAACCAAATTCTAATTTTTCTTGGCTCCAAGTCTTCAGAGTAAGTTTTGTTACTTTGTTTTCAATTTTTTTCTTCTTTCTTTCCAATTTTTTCTAATTTGGAGTCAATGAAAACTAAGCTGTGCTTTCATAAAGCCCTGCAAACTGAAGCTAGACAAACTTCAGAAGAAAATAACAGCAATTATATATATATATATATATGTATATATATTTATATATGTATATATATATGTATATATATATATATATATATATATA